TAAGTACCATTATACCTCTCTTGGTCATTAGGCATTTTAAGTACTGTGGAATTAGTATCTTTATGAAAGTATAGGGTTTTTGTTATAATAAGTCAAAAAATTAAGGAACATAATTTCCCTAAAATTTAAAAATTTGATGAATCATGCCGATCCAATCCACTAATTGGACCGTTGATCTGTCAATCGAAAACACTATTCCCAGTGGGCGTTCTAGGTCACCAATCCATATTTTTTTTGGGAAAATTACATAAATATATGTTTTATTTTCTGTTATTACTAGAATATCGAAAGCTTTTTGTTATTGCACATATGTGAGGCATACCAAGATTTAGTTGCTCAAATTTTTAATTTTATTTTAATTTTTAGTCTTAATTTTTTTTAATGAGTTTGTTCAAAGTTAGTTTTTTTTAGGACATTCGTTTTATTTGGATAGTCTTCTTTGGTAGGATCTTTTTATCCTTTTTTTAGTGCGACGCTTTCTTTTTAGTAGATAGAGTTTTGGATTTATCTCAATGCAAGGGAAGTTTCATTGAATATTTTGAAGATAATTGATCTCAATGGAAGGGTATGTTCGTTGAATATTGTGAAGATAATTAATTTGCATATGAAGGACATGATCTCTTTGAGGATATTTATCTAAAAAGAACAATAAATCGTATAGGTATAAAAGAAGGTTGTTTTACATTGTAAATAAGAGTTTTTGACGTTGAATGAAAATTGTAGAGGTTTTACTCTTTTGAGCGTAGAGAGAGAAAGAGAAAGAGACCCCTTATTGTGTATGCTTGTGGGCATGTGAAGGAATACTCATATCTGCACGTTTTGTTTTTTTTTTTTTGTAATTCCCTTATTATTTTTATCTCTCTCTAAAAAACGCAGTTAGTATTTGACGGGTAGTGTTCGTCAGAAAAGTTTTTACTACGTCAGGTGGTATCAGAGCCTAGATTATTGTGCGATCGCGTGCTATTTGCAAGACATCATGGTTCGTGGATTTCTTTGACAACAAGGTACCGAGAATGAGCCGATCTAGAAAGAGCAGGACCTCCATGAAATAGAGTTCGGAAATTTGATAAAGCAAGTAGACGATCTGACCCAGGGCTTCGCGCAAAATACCGCCTTAACACACTATGATGACGGTAATGAGTCGGAAGTTGTTTTCGAGAACCCATTCCATGCGTACGCACCACGTTAGGAGTCCCATATTTGGGATAAGAGATATTGGGATCTAGTCATTAAAGTTGATCTACTAGAGTTTGTACAACGATTGCAAGCGAAATAATTTATTGATTGGATTGATTCTATCGGGCGCATCTTCAATTGCAAAGAGGTGCCCAATGATAGGAAAGTTAAGCTCGTGCCTATTAAGCTTAAGGGTCGTGCATCAACATGGTGGGAACGATTGAAAAAGACTCAGGAAAGACAAGAAAATTTAAATTTCTCTAATTGGGAAAAGATGAAGAAAAAATTAAGGGAGCAATTATTGCCCTTGAATTGTACCCAAACGATGTTTCAACAACTTCATACCCTTCGTCAAGGGGGGGCAGTTCGTTGATGATTATACTAAGGAGTTCTATTGACTAGTTGCACATAACAGCTTGACTGAGATTGAAGAGTAACAGGTTACTCAATATCTCGTGGGATTGTACCAATCAATTCAGGATGTCCTAAGTTTATCTCTCTACGGATTGTATTAGAAGCCTACCAACGAGCTTTAATAGTAGAGAAACAATAGTCCATGAGCACAGCTAATACAACGACGCGATGAGATTCAGGTCTTCGAACATGCCAATTTTAAGTTCATAGTGCTAGGCTTGAAGACGCACCATCTGGGGATCGTAGAGATGTGGCTGTAGCACTTATGAATCACCCAAATATTGCTGATCCACGTGCTAGAGTTTAGGGGCAGCAACTCAACTCTCTGTTGTTTCAAGTGCGAGGAGGCGGATCACAAGGCTGGAGACTATAAGAAGCCGAATAGCCGTCCTAGTAAAAACAAACAACTCATGATTGTTGATGAGAACCTAGATGATGCTGATGAGAACCTAGATGATGTTGATGAGTATGATGGTCCTAAGTAAGAAACCCATGAGGATTGGTTGACGACCAATATTTTTCACACAGTATATACCACTTGACGCAAGGTGTGCAATCTTATTATTGACAGTGGGAGTTGTGAAAATGTAATATCATAAGATGTGGTCACAAAGCTCAAGCTTGGCACCGAGAAGCATCCCCAACCATACAAGCTTATTTAGTTCAAAAAGGGCAATGAGGTACGAGAAAAAAGTAGATGCTATGTTTTTTTCTTTCTATTAAAAAGAAATGTTTTGATGATGTATGGTGTGATGCGATTGTCATGGATGCTTGTCATTTATTATTAGGTAGACCATGGCAATATGATCGTAGAGTTCTACACAATGGGAGGAGCAACATAGATACTATTTGGAAAGATAGTAATAAAATTGTGTTAATTCCCATGAAAAAATAAATTATGCTTAAGATTAAACCAGTGGAGAGTGTAAATTTACTCTCAATGGCTAAATTTATGAAAGAGGCTTAGGAGACTGGGTTAATATATGCTTCAGTGACTAATGAGGAGGGTTTAGATTCTATTATTCCAGAGAATATCGAATACGGAGAAAAATATGCATACGTGGCGTGCCCTGAAGTCCAGTTTGATCAATTTCAGCAAGTTTATGGGGCTAAAAAATCGGCATATAATATCCCTTTTATCGAGGGCTCATTATTTTTCATATACGATCGTTATTATTTGATCAGTGCAGTAACCCATAGATTCCAAGATCGTGTTTACAACATTCGGATTGAATAAAGTGGTAGGATCAATACATATTTCATCTCAGCACAATTTCAAGCTCGAGGAGGAGTTTTTTCTAACCAATGGAGAATGACACAGATCAATATTCGGTTGCTCAAAATTTTAATTTTATTTTTAGAATCTTATTTATTTTTTAATGAGTCCGTTTAGATTTTATTTTTTTTTAGGTCGTTCGTTTTATTTGGATAAGTCTTCCTTGGTAGGATATTTGTATTTTTTTTTTAGAGTGCCATTTTTTAGAGTTTTGGGTTTATTTCAATGGAAAGGAAGGTTCATTGGATATTTTGAAGATAACTGATCTCAACGGGTTTATCTCAATGAAAGGGAAGGTTCATTGAATATTGTGAAGATAATTGATTTGCATATGAAGGACGTGATTTCTTTGAGCGCAATTATAAAAAAAGAACAAGAAATCATATGGGTCTAAAAGAAGGTTGCCCTGCATTGTAAAGAAGGGTTTTTGACATTGAATAAAAAATTGCGGACTTTTTTCTCTTCTGAGCGTAAATAGAGAAAGAGAAAGAGACCCCCTCTTGTTGTTTTTTTTTTCTTCCTCTTATGCTTGTGGAGCCGTGCTGGAATACTCGTATCCACATGTTTTATTATTTCTTTTAGTAATTCCTTTCTCGTTTTTATTTAACTCTTTAAAATGCGGTTAATATTTGCTCGGTGGTATTTGTCAGTAAATTTTTTATTGCATCACTCTGTGACCCAATAGGTTTGACTTCGGTTTTTGAAAAACCGCAATTGGGCTCCATCGGTTTAACTGCTTTGAACCCTGATGTTCTCTTGCCACGAACTTTTGGGGCTCCTCTCTCTTCTGTAATTTTATTTGTCTCTCTCTTACCTCTCACAACTCTCACTATTTGTCTCTCTCTTACCTCTCTCACACCATATATTTGCAGCATCCTTTTAATTCTAACCGAAAGCTCCATTAGCAAATTAAAATCCCATACAAGTGTACATGATTTATAAGTTGCCAGAAAAACAAGTAACATTGAGGAATGCAACATCAGGTAAATTATGAAACAGAAGAAAGTTTTTTGATTTTATATCAATGCCACGAATATGCATTTTGCTTCCACAGCTAATAAGCCCGTTTTGTACAGCAGTTTATAGACAAATATTGCCTGCAGCCAATCAATTGTTGTGGTTGATGACGTTTCCAAACTGTATACAAAATTCCACATTTTTTGCAGACAAAATTGAAAACTTCATGAGCTGAAAAAGTTTCATAATACAAAGTCATTTATTAGAGAAAACATGCATAAAAGTAACAAAATAAAGTTATTGGAATGTAAGGATTTCGGTTTTCGAAAAATAGAAAACCTTAGAATTTTGGTTTTTCAAAAATCGAAAATAGAAAAACCGAAACTCAAGTATAATTCAAACATAACACATAAAGTTACTGGAATGTAGAATACGGGTTTTCTGTTTTTGAAAAGCTCAAAACATTAGATTTTTGGTTTTTGAAAACCGAAAATAGAAGTTTTTTGGTTTTTAAAAAACCGAATATCGTGTTTAATCCAAATAGAAATATTGAAGGTACTAGATTGTAGAATACGAGTTTACGGTTTATGAAAAATCGAAAATATGATATTTTTGAAAATAAATTGTTATGAAGTTCAGAAAAATAAATTTAGTTTTTGAAAACTAAAAATTAATTAAAATTTTGGTTTTTGAAAAACTAAAATTATTAAAATTTTGGTTTTTTAAAAAATAAAAATTTTAAAATTTTAGTTTTTGAAAAACCGAAAATAGATAATTTCATTTTTTTTAATAAATTGTTGTGAAGTTTGAAAAACAGACATAAATATAATAAATGAAAGTATTAGATATTTACGCAATAATAAAATATATATTAAATATTTACATAAATTTTTTTTTAATATTGGAATAAATTGTAAATGTTGGAATAAATTGTAAATGTTGGAATAAATTGTAAATGTTGGAGTAAATTGTAAATGTTGGAATAATTTTTTTTAATATTGGAATAATTTCATTCGACTGAATGCTGTTATCAACCCCCTAACTCACCACCAAATAAATCATCAATCAAATGTTAAGCCGCTTCTCCCCCTCTTTCTCTCTCTAACTTTTTTCACCGCATGTAAACTTCCTCTCTCTCTCTCTCTAAACTTACGCGCGTCGAACCAAATGAAATGTGAATGGGCCACCGTTCTCGCGCTCCCACATATTATACTCTCTCTCTAACTTTTATAAAGAATGCACCAATTTTTTTCTCTCTCTTCCCAGTGTCCTCGCGTCCAGCTCCTGCAACAACAAATGGAGACTGGTTTTAAGCCCACATTGTTTCAATTTCTTAAAAAACTGAGACCCTGACCAGTTTATGAAAGCCCTAATTCCATGGATTCCAAACAGCTCATAGACTGCTTGGCTGATCACATTGCCCTGTACCACTCCTCTATCCCCTCAAGCCCTAACCCTAATGTCAGAGGTAGTACTAATATCCGAACCCCAATTCTTAGCTGGTTCAAAACCCTAACTGTAGCTCAAAGGCAAGCAGCCCTAACAATTGTTGACCATCAATGGACCCAAATCCTTCTTCAAATGCTTCACTATCTGCAATTCACCTCTCATGGCTTCTTCATCATCCTTTCTGACCTCCCTTCAAGCCCTTCTTCAATCCTTCCAACCCTCTGTTTCCGAAGATCTCATGGCCTTTTGAGTAGGGCCTACGTAGCTGACACCTCTGAGACCCAAATTCAAAAGAGCCTCCTGCTATTCAGTTCAGGCGAGGGGAGCTCAGATGGAAAATTTCTCTTTCATCCAAATGGCTCAGAGAAGAAAATTCTCTCTCATGCGATTGGTGAAGAAGGGAAGTTTCTCTCTTATGGGATTGATTCAGTTACAGTTTCCGAAGAGTTTGTTGCGAATGTGGATGATTTTTCCATCGTCATGGATAAGCTATCAAATGGTGGTTTTTTGACTGGTAAGGAAAATGGGGGGTCGAGATGGGAGGAATTGGGGTGGTTAAAGGCAAAGGGGTATTACAGCTTAGGGTCATTTGTGGCAAATGGAGTGGAATTGGCTTTGAGGGCTTCATGGACAGAGAAGGCCAGGAAGAAAGGGGCGAAGGAAAAACGGGGATTTGGCGCTGGTTCCACAAACAATGCGTTTTGGAGGGTTAAAGGGTGTGCGGATTGGTGGAAAGGATTGGATTTTAGCGTTAAGAAGCGGGTTTTTGATCTGGTTTCCAGCAAATGCGCTAAACGCCTGGTAATTCAAAATTTAATTTAAATTTGACTTTAGTTAAAGTTATTCAGTTATTTTTTATCGATGACCAAAGTTGGGAGACTGGGATCTTTGATTTATCAAAAGAAAAAGAAAATTCTGGGAATCCGTTTATGCTTGGAGCTTTTGGATTTTTCTCTCTTTTTTCTAAATTTTTTGATAGTTTACTGTTAAGATGGTTCTTATTATTTTTGAATCTTTGATCATCAATGAAATTTTTTATTACTAGAATGAGAAGAAGCTTAAAAATATAGAACAAAGGACAATAGATGTCAAGATAACATCTCAGGAATTCAACACTGAAGATGTGTCCACATAGAATGATTCTAGAAGGACACCATGATTAGCAAGGGTATCGGCCTCCTAGTTAGCTCCCCTTAGAATGGGCACAAGCTTAAATCCTTAGTGTCACAAATGGAAAAGATCTCACCAAATATCAGCAACCCTCCACAAAATAAAGGACTCTTTACGGTCCCATCTTATGACATCAGACAATCCATTTTATACTACAAGTCTCTTCGAGTGTAGAATTGGATATCCTAGTGGGTTCATAGATTTCAAGCTTCCTAACTTCTTCATGTATAAAAATATTACCATACCTGTCAGTTCGGATTACTCCATGAACATCAAAATTCAGTTTGATAACATGCTCCACTGGAGCAACCTGAACTGTCCTGGGTTGAAGCAATGGTGGACCTGTAAAGGCCATAGGATACCAGTCCTTGACCAAGTCAATGGCCATGTATCCTAAAAAACTGGTCGAAGCAATGCCCATGGGATCACCATATTCCTAATCCTCTCCCCTTGGGCCAACTCCTGCATCCTTGATCCCCAAAAATACAACCATTTCACTATTTTTAGATACACCAAATAGTGGCCATGATACTCAATTGCTAGAGCACTCAGCCCCCATATGGGATTGGCTTAGACACAACTCTGTTAAGATGGTTAAGTTTCTTGAAGGGCAAAAACCAAATGTTTTGGACAAGAAAGCACAAAGAAGACAGTAAAGTTAAAATTAAAAAAGAAAAAGGAAAATAAAAAAAGCTAGATAGCAGGTCAAAGGGTTAGGAAAGAGAATTTAATAGAGAGACTGTGGCCCTCATTCCCTCTCAAGATTTTTTTTGTTTCTTTTTGGAGGGGGGATGTTGTATATTTTTTTAAAGCAATATTTGTTTATTTTGTTAGTTTATTTATTTGCTGAAATATATAATGTGTAATGTTTTCTTTTTAAATTTATTTCCCTGTTTATTTTCTCTGTAGAAGTATAATGTTTGTTGTTTGTTGAGCTGGGTTTATGTAACGAAGCAGTGTGTTAATCCCGTGGAATTTGGCACCTTCCTTGTTATGCATTTTTCCTTTTCAGAACTAGATGCATATGCTTGAGCTGCTTTTTGTAGAAAATGGCCAAATTCGAGTCATTTTGTTACAAATGTGGACTTTTGACTGGGTTGGAAATTTAATAGCTGAATGCCTGGTAACAGAAACACTGTGCCTCTTTCATTTTCTCTCTTCTTGAGAATGGGTGTCTGCGCTGGTTTTGAGTGGTATTATCACGACAAGACCGGCTGTTGAACTGGTGAAGGGACTAGTCTGGCTGAAACCTGTGGCACTTGTCAGAAGTTAGAGAATTGATTAAAAAGTCACAAAGAAGAGAAAAATGAGCAAGACATCTGGATTAGGAGGAAACTAGGTTTTGGATTTTGCAACTCTGATGATCACGGACTAATAATTCTTACAGAAAATCAAGGTTTTTGATCTCAAAAGTATGCTTAAGACTTTAATCTAATAAAATGTGTTCTTGAGAGAGTGACAAAGAATAACAAAAAGAGAAGGCAAAAAGTTAGGCCAAATTATACTAGAGAATTGAAAAACAGGGGTTGGAAAAGGAAAGTAGAAAGAGAAACCCGATTGGGTTTCCATGGGGCCATGATCTGGGTTAAAAATTGGGGAATCGGTCCGAAATTCAAGAAAATATAAAAATATTGGGTCACAACTAATATATTAGAGAGATAAACTAGGAAGGCTTTCATGGAGTGTCATATTTTTTGGCTAAAACTTGCGCATCATGTTGCAAATATGGCAGGTGTGCTGTTTGAAAAGTGAAAGTAGAGAAGTAGCAAGAGATCTGGCCAAAGCTATATGCAAATAAGTCCATATTTTGAGACAGAGAAGGCACGTAGAAATGGCACAACTGGCAGGTCAGACCACCGGTTTTGACCTGTTCTATAATATTCTGGCCATGGGGCTGTTTGGCGGTTTGGCCGGTCAGGTCTGGTCTTGATAACACTGTTTATTAGTCCATGCTTTAGGGAAAAAGAAAAATTTCATGTGGCAGGTTTGAAATTGAACCTGCAGCTTAGGTGTTGATATAATGATATGTATCGCTCTATACCGTTGGTTTCAGGTGTGTATTCCCCAAACTGATGCATTTAGTTTGTTTGAATACACATTTTAGGACTTATTTAATGATTATTGGAAATTTTTTCTTGGATGCAGAAACACATGTATAGACATGATGAATTTTGATTTTATGGTACAAAGCCATTATAATTGTTTCCTTATACGTATATTTTCAGGCAAAGGAGATTGTTAATGGGAAGCACACTGTTTTAGAAGTTGATACACAATTCTGTACAGTCAGTACTACGCCACAGTTGAAAAATAGCCATTTCAATACAGAATTTTTCTCGAGCATCCACCCCATTTCCGCCTCCAAAATGGCTTCATCCCTGGCCAAACTTTCCAATGGATTGCTTCTTCTTGAGAAGCTTTCAGTTTCTGGTTTTGCTTATGAGAACAAAATTCCTGACGAAGAGAAACTCTTCTTTAGCACATTAGGTTCTGTTCATAGTGTCTCAGACTATATTTTGAGGAGAGTTCGTGAAGTCCTCATGAAGCTCTCAACTGATTGTATTAGAATTGATCTTTTGGGAGATGACAACCACAAGGCCTCAGCAAATAAATGCAAAGGGAAGAGTAGCAATAGCACTGTCTATCAGAAAGAGAAAAAGGGAAAAGGTCGCAACAGGAGAAGCATGCATGTGGAAGTGAAGGCGGCGGAGGATGATCATCTTCAACACGGTCGATGCAAGGTTTTTTGTTCTATTGGGTTACCTGAAAAGCTTTTTTTTTTGCTGAAGATGTATAAAAAGAGAGAAAAAAAAAAAAAACTTAGTTCTAATTTTCTTATGGGATTATCTCTAGGGTCATGAGTGCAGATCTGTTGATAGGGAGGAAAATAGTTCAAACAATGGGAACATGCAGAATGCTCTCTCAGTGGGGACTCATGAGACCAATAGCATGATTGGCTCTGGAAATCTGGAGGATCATCTATGCCACAAGACAGTGGTCGAAGAAATGAGCATGGTTAGTTTTGATCCCTAACTTTTGCAATCTTATTTTATTTTGTATACAAATTTTTACTGTTAACTTTTACAATAGCATTATATGTATGTCTCTTATGTAGTGCTTGTTCTCTCCTGTAGGAACCCATCAAGAAGTTGGTTGATCCGGGTGTCGATGCCATCTGCAAGAAGAGAAGAAAGGGAAGGCTTAAGAGCAAGAAGAAAAAGTCAAGTTCAAAAAATTCAGATAAAAATGATGGTAACGAGGTGCACACCGTGAGTAATGGGAAGTTCTCTGAAGGATCCAATTGTTTCTCTCAAGAAAAACAAGAGAAGATTTTAGAGCCTAGTACCTTAAATAATGATTTGGTTCTTGACCACTCCTCAGTGACTGAAATTAGAGATGTTCAGGGAGATATTTCTAGTTTTGGGTCCTTGCTTAATCCAAATGGAAGAGTGGCCAAGGTTCCAGAAGGTTTAGTTGCCCCAGGTGAGGAAGGGCTTGCATCTCATAAGTCAGGATGCATAGTTTCCAGTTTATCACCAGCATGTGTTTCTAACTCTCTAGACCCATATCAATCTGTGATGCCAAGTGGTGAAACTGCACAGCCTGAGAAGACAGAAGCCGAGAATAACAACCATCACAGTTTCACTCATTCAATTGGGTCCACATCGTATGAGTGGCCTAGCGTGACCCATCTTCGTTTGCCACCTCGGAATGCACGTCTCCCACCAGACACAGATTGGTTGCATTTAGATGTCGGTCGCAGTTGGCTTAAACCCCATCAACTTCCCACTAGAAATTCAGCGAGGAATGCTTCAAATGAAGGTGGTCGGAGTAGAGTCTTGTCTTCCTGTGCTTTGCCAATGAGTTTTGATTGGCCACCAATGGTGAGAAGCATGAATAGTTTGGCGTCATCTTTTGCATATAATTTTGATCCTGGGTTTATTCCTGGGCTAAACTCTTCATTCTGCCCAACCTTCACCATGCATGGGCATCAACTCGATGGGGTGAAGAACGAGGATGAGAGGAAGTACTTTGGGGCGACCCAAGACCACCATGATAAAAAACATGCACAAGACCAGGTAGACGTGAATGAAAACTATTGGGTATCAGAAGAAGAATCTGAGTTTCTTCCAATATCTGCTAGAGATTATAACCAGTTTTTTGGTGGTGGTGTTATGTATTGGAACACAGCTGACCATATTGGCACTGGCTTTTCACGACCCCCTTCTATGAGCTCTGAGGACAGTTCATGGGCTTGGCATGAAGCAGAGCTTAATAGAGCCATAGATGACATAGTTGGTGTGCCCGGTTTATCTGGTTCTTACGGAACTGGCGGCCTCTCTTCTCCTCCTGCTGGGTCTTTTTGTTCTCCATTTGATCCTATGGCCCCTAGCCTTGGTTATGTCATGCCAGGAAATGAAACTAATGGGAAGGTTCTTCAAGCTTCTTCAACAGCACAAGAAGTTCCATCAGAGGAGAAACTCTCAAGCTCTTTGACCAACTCTCCTGTTAGTGTTGTAGAGGGAATAACTGGGGATTTGCTTCCATGCCATATTTTGAGGCCTATTGTTATTCCCAATCCTTCTAGGAAGGGATCAAGGTCAGAGTTTATGTTCAATCATGACCGAAAAAGCCCATGTATACCTCGAACTATGAAGGAACCATCACGTATCAAAAGGCCGCCATCACCCGTCGTGCTTTGTGTTCCACGGGCCCCACGACCTCCTCCACCATCTCCTGTTGATGAATCTAGGAAACAGAGAGGGATCCCAACAGTGAGGTCAGGCAGTTCAAGCCCAAGGCATTGGGGTATGCGGAGTTGGTACAGTGATGAAGCTCATTCAGAGAAATCTCACCTACGTATAGATAATGCTGAGGTTGTGTGGCCCTCTTGGAGGAGTAAATGCCTTGCAGGCACATCTATGATTCAACCTCTAGCCGGAGCTTTGCAAGATCACCTGTTCAGTATCTCTCAACTAGCTCTTGATCACGAACATGTAAGTTTGATATGTCGACTCATAGGTCAAAATAGAAACTCAAGAACAACTTCAATGATTAACTTAATTTTTTGGCTAGGTTTAATTTTTTTCTCTAGGTTAAATATTTAGCTTATTTTTTTTCATAAAATTTCATTAAAACAAAAATGTACACAATTGTAGACTTCATATGATTTAAGAAATTAGGAAAAAGTGAAAAACTATGAATTAGGCTGTCCATTTCTACAGAATTGATGAACACCCCAAAAACCATGTTAGGAGGATATACAGGAACTGTAGTTCTGCAAACAGCTCTTGATTCACCTTGTGATCAATTGCACAGAAAACACTATTAAGTTTGAGTTCTTAAAACTATAGTTCTTGTTGCCATTGTATGGGCGGTCCACACTGTCCAACAAATGGATGGTTTCTGGTGGGGTCTGTGAATCCGTCAGTGCTGTTGAATTATCAGGTCTATCCATGAAAAATTTGCTCAAAAAATATATTTTCAAATTTTGAACTTAAATAGAATTGCTGGATATCTTGCCTAATCTTTTGAGAAATTTTGAAAAAAATTAATGAATTATTTTGGGAATTGAGAACTTTTTGATTCTTGAAGCTACTGAGGAACTAGTGATGATTACTTTTGGGATTATCGATATGATAAGCATGCCTAGCTTGACGAATATTTTGTTATGTTCAGCCGGATGTTGCATTTCCTCTGCAGTCTCCAAAATTATTGAACTCTCCTAGTCTTAAGGCGTCTCTCTCGAAGATGCATGGTCTTCTTCATGAAGAAATTGAATCCTTCTGCAAGCAGGTAAGGATTATGTTAGATTACTTTATTTTAAAGCTTATGCCGTCAATACTTGGTTCTCTTGGGATTTAACTTGTCCACTGGTTACATTTGCACACACTTGTTCATTCCTTTCTTTCCCTAATTTGTTGTAACATGTACTGTACTTGTTCTATTGGAAGAAGAAAGACATTCTTTTCCTCTATGTTGTTATGGAAATAGTGATTTTGCAATATGCATCCATCTTCTTGAATGTTCCTCAATTGACCCCTAATTCTTGGTAATTATCTGTTGACTCAGCAAAATGATTTTCACTGACTTATGCTTTTGTTCTGGTAAAATCTGTATTTTATGTAAAAATATTAATATTATACAAGCGTGCTGCTTTGGGCCATAAGCTACCTACTTTAGAAAGTAGGTTACTGTTGGACCCAAGTGATGAACACATATATATCTCATCTAGGCAACACTTTTTTTTTTTTTTTCAAAAAAAGGGGGAAATTTAGTCTGCCATTTTCAATCAATGCAGGCCACCTATTTGGTGGATGGAGTATCTTGGCCTCCAAGAACTCAAAATCTATTTTATTTTTAAATTGCTTGTGTATTAAACCCAAGATATGTAAAGTTTCAGCCCTAACAAATCCTCTAGCTATTACTGTAAGTATCAGCCTGTTGGCTTATAGAATCTTCTTTGTATATTTTTGTATTTATTTTATCAAGAAACTAACAAAAGATTAATATGTTAGACAGCCATAAAATATCTACAAATTTAATACTTATCTCATGCACTTTGTTGTAATTTTGAACAATGCATCTACGTAGCAAGCATGATGCAGAGGCAATCTCCACTTTTGCCCTTCCACAAAAAAAAAAAAGCCTTTTTTACAAATTAAATTGCACATATTAGTTTTTCTGGAGGGTTAAAATCAATAATTGCTCCTTTGAAGGCTTTTGACATATTCCCATATATGAAATGTATGCAACAATTAAAAGGTGCGTGGATGAAGTGTTAAATTAGTACACTGACAATTTTTTTCTTTTTGATAGCAGATTCTCTAAAATGTTTGATAAATATTCAAATGTTTTTGCAATTCTATCACAATATATTGATCATTATAGAAAATCGAAATTTATAGAAAATCGGAATTTCTGAAGTGTAAGGCGGATTGAACTTTAATGTTTGGAAAGTTTTTGTAGGGCCGTGGCTTTATAAAGCCATGCTCCAAAATCTTGTGGGAAAATGAAGTTCCAGCACTGGAAGCAAAAAAGGAAGCTAAATTTATTGTTGGGAATTTGTTTTATAGGCTGTAGCTTTATAAAGCTGCACCTCAAATCTGGTGGCAAAATGCAGTTCCAGTGGAAAGTGCATTCTCTTGTGGGGTTTTGAGCTGCGGCCTTGCCAAATAGGATAACCACAGCCTTTAATGTTTTAACCAATAATGTACGTTATTGCGTTATGACTTATGAGTAAATAATGCACTCATTTAGATATAAGTTATCATGTTTGTATTTTTTTTTTTTTTTGGGTTTAAAAAAAGGATAAGATCAAATGATTTGTTTAAAGGTTATAACCCTTTTTTTTTTTTGAAAAGGACAACTCAATGATAAAAGCTGCAATAGTGATTGAGTAATAAAATTAATAGCAATTAATAACATTTACTTATAATTAAAAAAAAAGTTCAATATCAGGTTCTTGAGTATCTAAATGGATCATTTTTTCTACTTTTTTGTTTCTCACTTAGTGAGGCTGTTTCTTCATTCTTCTACAAATTTCAGGTTGCCGCAGAAAATCAGGTAAAGAAGCCATTCATCAATTGGGCTGTCAATAGGGTTGCGCATTCTCTCCAGGTTCTCTGGCCTCGTTCCAGGACAAAGATCTTTGGTTCCAATGCAACTGGTTTAGCTCTTCCCACAAGTGATGTTGATCTTGTTGTTTGTCTCCCTCCAGTTCGGAATTTGGTAAATATTGCATGATGAGAATATCCTTTCAATTCTTCTTTAATTTATGCTGGCTTTCTGTTGATAGCATGGAAGATTTACATTGTTGCTATTTACTAGGAACCCATTAAAGAAGCTGGGATTCTGGAGGGTCGTAATGGTATAAAGGAAACTTGTCTTCAGGTACACAACATTTTCTTTTTGGGAAATTGGGTTTTTGTCATTGTTAAATTTTGTATTTAATTTTTGCTATCATCTTAAAAGTAACAAGGATTTTGCTATTGACATTCTCTTAATAAGGATGATGTAGTAGTATGCTTTCCACTTCACCATTTCCTCTGAGATCTCTCCAGTTATTAAACGTTCCATATATAGAAACCTAGCTATAGAAGGCCCTAATAGCATGGGAGATGTCTATCAGAGAAAAATTCCGGCTCTAAAAAGTTTGTGCTACAGCTCTGTAGAGTTAGGTGTGGATGCTTTTGTATCTTATTCTGTTGCTATATCTTATGTTGGTAGGTTGCGTTTTTATATCCTATTGATCTTTTGCTTGTATTAACTCATCTCTCTCTCTCTCTCTCTCTCTCTCTCTCCCCCCTTCCCCACAGCATGCAGCACGTTACCTGGCCAACCAAGAATGGGTTAAAAGTGATTCTCTTAAAGTCGTGGAAAACACTGCTGTAATGTCATTTTCATCCCCAATTGCTGTAGTCATTTTCTTGTAACTTTATGTTTCCATCTCCATTTGAAGAATTGCCACTCAATCTTTGTTGGGATCGTGCTTTCAGATTCCCATTATCATGCTTGTGGCTGAAGTTCCTCGTGACCTTGACAATGATAACACAAGTAATTGTCTGTTGCATTCCTCAAAAGATGGAACACATCAACTAACTGATGATCATGGCATGGCTGCTGATGTTTACAAATCTGGTTCAGAGTGTTCTGTGCCAAATTGTACAGAAAATAGACCTGGGGACGCTGGAGATAGGAAATCAGTTCGAGTGGACATCAGTTTTGAGTCATCATCACATACAGGGCTTCAAACTACTGAATTGGTATGATACCAAAGTCAAACTCTTTGCTAATGTGTTATGCCACTGTATACGTGTGTACATGTGTATGTGCGTGTGTGCATGTGTGTGTGTGCTTGTATGAGTCCGTGCATGTTGTGTGTGTGTGCGCCCCCACTTACACTGTAGCAAGCAGCTCTTGTGATGCACAAGCATTGGAGAGGGGGAGAGAGGTTCTCCTTTTCTAAGACATTTTTTTTCAGGAAATCTGACAGACCATTTGTTTCAAAAAGGACAATACATGTGGCCGGGGCTGCAGTACGGCTGTGGTGTGAGGAAATTTTTCTGTTATCTAAATTGTTCTATTGAAAGACATATTCATATTTAAGTTTGAACTTTATTTTTTATATTAACATACAAAAGATAAGATAAATTAGACTAAATTTTCTATTTTTAAGATGATGGAAAATGCAAAAGTGGGCTAGTTTTGAATGGAAATAGTTTTTAAATAGAAAGGGTTATTTTGTGATAATAGGTTGAAATAGAGGTATTCCTAAAATAAATATTAAAATAGAGTTTGTTTAAAATCTAAGTTCTAATTTTATTTCAAATAAGAAATGAAAATATAAGATCTTAATTTAAATTAGACTAATTTGTATGATGAGATACCAGTAATGGGGTAATAAGGATCAATGTTCGATTGCATGAACCGGCCTCGGAACCCTGCCATGGCCGGGTCCAAGTAACCCGGAACTGGTCCGGGTAACCGGCCCTAATTGGGCAGGTCCCAACCGGCCTAAAAAAGGTAAAAAATCTTAAAAAAAACCTCAAAAGATCGCCAAAATTATGGAAAGTATGTTTAAAAGTAATTAAACAAAATACATCCAAATGAGATTAAAAAACTAGTGAAAAAATAGATTTTGCAAAATCAATTTGTTGCCCACGGATACTTTAGAAATAATCCAAAAAAGATGGGAAAATGTAAAAAGAAGTATTTACGGTCAAAATGCTTCCCAATCTTTTCCAAAACAATAGAAGACATTTAAAAATGTGTTACAAACAAATTTTTATTTTAGTCTATGTTAATTGTTATAGTTTTTAGATTTTTTTTTTTTAAGTTAGGGTGTTCAAGCCGATTGGGCCACGGCCAGTGGCCGGTTCGAGTAACCTGACTGGGTCCGGGTTGGCCTGGCCGGTTTTGCGAATAGGGGTAAGGATGTAGTTTGGGAAGGAGATTATAAAAAAAATTGAAGGTGCAGTTTGGGAAGGAAGGTGTATTTTATGATAAGAAATAGTTTTAAATAGAGGTATCCCATCAATAAACATATTGAAATAGGACTGCTTTAAAATCTGACACGATACCCATTGGAACCCACATTTAGCGCATAATATGTGTGCGAGCACATGCGCATGTGTGCAAGTTTGCATTCATGTTGACCCCAATAATTGCAGGCTCCACTATAGGCAATGTCCACTTGAAGGGATGGTGCTTGTTTTAGAATGCATTTAAAAAAAACAACATGACCGGTGGGTTACTGGCGAACAAAGGAACAGGTTCCCCCAATTTTCTTCAAGCACCATCCTCTGTCTCTCTCCATTTTTTCAACAACATTACCTCTCTCTGTCATACCAAACCCAACACCCATACCCCACCTTTCTCTAATGGAGAGAGAGAACCTGCAAACGCCTCAATAAAGGAGCAAAAAACCAAAGAAAAAAAAAAAAACACAAAACATAACAAGTTTCTTTCTCTACTACATATTCCCCTCTTGTTTCACCTCTTGATTCCAAAAAGGTCCTTGAATGTAAAAATCATCAAATTGTACTGGATGAGATACACAAGAACCATACTGTATCTCTCCAAACAAAGCTGAATAACTTCAGGAATGGACCATTTATCTATACTACCACATTAACTGTTTCTTTGTTGGATTCTATCAAATCCATGTTTCATCAGAGAGTTATCTGCATTTACCGCATATATCTACCATTGAGCTTCCACTACAGATATTTGCTTCAAAACCAAGTTTTATAAGGGCGAAATGAATTTGTTTCCCCATATGAAGAAAACCCAACTTTGCACTGCACTGGCCTTAAAACGTTAGTAGAAGTTGAATTTTGAGCTGAATTTGACAAAGTTTGGTAAAGAGTTCTAGGGCATCAGTGTTGGAGCCATTATGAACATGGTGGGTGATTTCTTCATTCCGTTGAATTAGGGCTTTTCCTTGGACTTTTTAGGTGTGGATTGTTTTGTGGTCTACGCATGGTGGAGAAGAAAAGTGGAGTGCATTAAGCAATGGGTTAGTGGAGATAAATGGTGATGCACCATCATGTCACATTTCTTCTATTTGATTAGAAAGACTAGCACAGGGAGAGAGAGATTGTGTTAAAAAATGAAAGCAGATGAGAGAGTAAAAAGAGGCAACTGGGGCCTCTTGTTCCTTATTCCTCGTGCCTGCAGTTTTGGGTCCGATCGGCACTATCCAATCCTATGGATGGTGCTGATCTCAGGGCCCGCATAGTAACAAAAGCGAGCCTTGGTGCACCAATACGAGATCCACATATGTATATGTATATGTATATACTTGTATGTATGTATGTGTGTATGTATGTATGTGTGTGTATGAATAAACCCACACAAACACAGTTTCCATTTTGTCTTGAATCAACCAGGCTTGAGCTTAAAAATGGGCAAGTTTCTTTTTGGCTTCTAAGTTATTTGAGTTCTAGCATTTATGTGAGCTTATATGTGTGAATTCACTTATTGTTTGGGCTAGTTTTAGGTTCTTAAGTACTGATATCCATGCTTGTAATTTGTTGTATTCTAAAATAAGTTATATTTGTCTATTTGATATGTGGGATGGATACGCTGAATACCGTGAATTGGTGTTCTGTGAGTTGCAAGTCTGCATAAGCGCATAGCTTCCTTTAGTTTTGTTTTTCAAAAGCTTATGTTGCCATGGCCCCTTAAAAATAAGTCTAGCATCCATGTTCTACTGAGTCGTGTGGGACTTGATGAGACATGTCCCTCCATATTTTGGAGATGGTGTTTCATTCCCAAGTGTCGGACACTCAATAATGTTTTCTTGTTCAGAAAGGTGAGAATAAATTAAGGTGGTTTAAAATAGGTCTTTTCATGCCTTCTTTGTTCATTCTGAGGTCGCTTCCTCCATTGTTGGCTTTGGAGACATACTAGGTTTGTTTTGGTTGATTATTGATAATGGAATAGCATTGGATAAATTTTTAAGGATATCTGTAACTTTACTTTTTGTTTGACAGGTTAGAGAGCTCACTGGGCAGTTTCCTGCAGCGATACCTCTTGCTATGGTACTGAAGCAGTTCTTGGCATGCCGTAGCTTAGATCACTCCTACTCAGGTGGCCTAAGTTCATATTGCTTGGTAATTTTTGTTCCTTCTCTTTATATGCTCTCTAGATATTGAATCTTGCATCTGCAGCATATATTATGAAGGGAATTGTTGGAAAACCCAAGAAAACCAAATGAACACCCACAGATACAGTCAAAACTGAAGCTACCCGTACTTTAGTGGCTAACTTTCCCCTCTTTGAATATTTTAATTGTACTGGCTTCTTGAGTTGTGACTTGTAAAGTTGGGTTTTTATATGGTTTCTATGGGTGTTTCCAACACTCCCCTTTGTCAATATTTTGTTTTGTTTTCTAATCAAATGTTCTCATTCTGCGTAGATGAAAAATCAATTTTATTATGTCACGTAATACTTGGATGTGAATATTCTTCTTCGGCGACAATATATTTGGCATAAACCTGGTTGAATCTGACTTGATCTTGTCGAGTCACATCGACAAGACAGACCAAGCAAAGAAAATGAATCCCCAAGGTGCTACACCAACACGTAATAGAAATCTAAAATACAGAAACACATACAGGAAATATGAAATGTAGGGAAGTCTGAACCACACAAAAAAAAAAAAAGGAACAGCACATCTTTCTTATCAATATCTGAAAAGTTCACATTTGATATAAATCAACAAAATAAGGCATGTGCATATTTGCTTCTGTATCATTCACTGTGTGCAGTATCAACTATCAACTAAAGAACTGTCATGCTCAATTTTTAGAATAAGAGAAAGATATGGTAAATATGTTATGCTCCAGGTTGTAAGAGACTCAAATCTGGCAGTAATCGACATCACAAGCTAAGTAAAATCCGGCAATAATCAACATCACGAATAATTACCTCATTGTCTATGGAGTATATTTCTAGTGTTTTTGTCATGTATATAAGGAAACTCAACAAAAAAACCAGCTTCATGGAACATGCCTATGAGATCAGAAACAAATGCAAGTAAACTTAGTCATTTCTATCGTGATTGTAGTGCTCAAACTACTAAAGTTGTTAATGTATGTATATGTTGCCTTTGGCAAAACCCGATTGCCACAAAAATTTGGTGTTTCTAGTGGTGAATGTTTTCTATCAATCCTTCTTTTGTGACTCTCTCATTTTGACACTTTCAATTTTGCTTTCTTGTTTATTGCAGCTTTCTCATTTTGGGACCTTTTTTTAGGATGAAACTTGAAAGTGTAATAGCTTTGAAGCATATGCTCCATGCATGTTCATACAAATATTGATGACTGATGTCTATTCTTTATCTTGTTTGCATCTGTGTGGTTATGATTTTTATATGTAGTATGTACCTTGAAGTTGTCACAGATTTTGAATCTGACTGTGCTTGCTCTTGTTCGAATCCATTTTGCAGGTGTTACTGATTATACGGTTCCTTCAGCATGAGCATCATTTAGGTCGGTTGCTAAATCAGGTATATATGGCGACATTTTAACAAGCAAATGAATATAGACGATTCTTCTTCTGAATGAATGTGAACATGTTATTCATTTGCTTCAAAAAGTTGAAACTATTTCATCATGTTTGCGTTGGAACTACTGTCTCTCTTGTATCTTGTCTGCTCAAGTGAGTCTGCTTGTCTCAGATTGACTTTTTAAGAGGAGTTCAGCATGTGGTATTTCTGATTTCTTTGCATCCAAATGTTGATTTTCTTTCACACTGATTGATTTTCTTTCATACTGGTAACTTTCCTTGATGTGTGCAGAACTTAGGGAGCTTTCTGATGGATTTCCTTTACTTCTTTGGGTAAGATGACAAATATTCAATGGTGTGATTTGTATGGTTTCTATTGAACTTTAGAAGACATCATTTCTCATTATTTTTTTGTTTCATGATGTTTTTCTAGAAGTGTGTTTGATCCACGACAAATGCGTATTTCAATCCAAGGAAGTGGAGTTTATTTGAGTAGAGAAAGAGGTCCTAGGTAATGTTGAAGAACTTTGTTCCCTTCTCGTTTAGAGTAGAGAAGGAGGTCCTAGGTAATATTGAAGGACTTTCACTTACTTGTTTAGTTGGTCTCTCTACATATTTTTTTTTTTCGGCTTGGACTTTGCAGCATTGATCCTTTGCACATTGATGATCCTCTTTATCCGACAAATAACATAGGGAGGAACTGCTTTCGCATACTTCAATGTATTAAGGTTTGCGTATAATCCCTCGTCTTGTTAGACTCTACTTGTGATCCTTTTGTCCAACTTGCTGAAAAGTGCTTAGGTCATGGCTTCATCCGTAGTATATAGAACTAATGGTTGCACATCAATAAATTGTAAAATAACAATTGGCTGACAAGAATTACAATTCTGCAATGTAAATTTTTCCAAACTAGGGTTTGGAGCACCTGGTGCCTAAACCTTTTTCTTTAATTTTTGTATCTCCAAGACCTATCTGTCAAGTTTGGTGTCAATATCTTCATTATTGGGCTTGACTTTTGGTCAATTTTGGGTTTGAACCTGGCTTTCTGATAAAGAGAAGATTTTTTTTTAACTAATATGGCCTAAAATGTGGAACTCTAGCCACCAAGTTACCATTGATTTTCATGAACATAATTAAATGCCTTTGACAATGTGTGGAATCAATTTTTCATGAATTTGTAATTCTAGTGTGTGTGTGTGTTTATATATATATATATATATATATATCG